CCCCCGGCGGTGACACCGGCGCAGCCCCGGGTGGCCCCGGGGCCACCTGCCCGCACCAGGAAGTCGCCCCGGTGGCCCGGTGTCGCCTCCCCCTCCTCGGGCGCTGTCGCCAAGCCCAGCCCCGGCGGGGAGGGGGTGGCAGCTCGGTGACAACTCCGAGGTGTCCCCGCGCCCTCCCCGGTTCCAGGATTTCCCGCTGTGGGGAATTCTCCGGGATGGGTTTTACCGGGATCCGCCCCTCCGCCAGGTGAGCGGCATTCCCGGAGGGATTCCCGGAGGGATTCCCGGAGGGATGCCGGTGGCACTTACGGAGTGTCGCCCCCCCGGGTGTCGCCGCTGTCGCCCCCCGGGTGTCGCCGCTGTCGCCGCTGTCCCCGCGGCGAGCGCGCGGCCGGCGGCGCTTCCTGCTGTGACTGACTCGGGTGCGCAGAGGGACCGCGGCGGGACCGGCACCGGAACCGGCACCGGGACACCGAACCGGCACCGGGACACCGAACCGGCAACGGGACACCGAACCGGCACACGGAACCGGCACCGGCACACGGAACCGGCACCGGCACACCGAACCGGCACGGCACTTACGGAGTGTCGCCCCCCCGGGTGTCGCCGCTGTCGCCCCCCGGGTGTCGCCGCTGTCGCCGCTGTCCCCGCGGCGAGCGCGCGGCCGGCGGCGCTTCCTGCTGTGACTGACTCGGGTGCGCAGAGGGACCGCGGCGGGACCGGCACCGGAACCGGCACCGGGACACCGAACCGGCACCGGGACACCGAACCGGCAACGGGACACGGAACCGGCACACGGAACCGGCACCGGGACCGGCACACCGAACCGGGACATGGAACCGCCACCGGCACACGGCACCGGGACACCGAACCGGCACCGGGACACCGAACCGGCACCCGACAGCGGGACCGGGACACGGAACCGGGACACGGAACCGGGACACGGAACCGGCACCGGCACACGGAACCGGCAACGGGACACGAAACCGGCACCGGGACACCGAACCGGCACCGGCACATGGAACTGGCACCGGGACACGGAACCGTGATACGGAACCGGCACCGGCGCCGGCACACGGAACCGGCACCGGGACACGGAACCGGGACATGGAACCAGCACCACCAAACGGAACCGGCACCCAGTGGCGGGACCGGGACACGGAACTGGGACACAGAACCGGCACCTGGACCCAGAACACAGCACCTGGCAGTGTCACCGGGACACGGAACACAGCACCCGACAGTGGCATCGGGACCGGAACCGGCACCAGGACACGGAACCAGCAGCGGGACATGGAACCGGCACCGGGACCCAGAACACAGCACCCGACAGCGGGACCGGCACACGGAACCGGCACCGGGACCCCGAACACAGCACCTGACAGCAGCACCGGGACGCGAAATTGGCATCGGGATTCAGAACCCAGCACCCGACAGCAGCACCGGAACCAGCACCGGGACCGGGAACCGGGACTGGCACCAGGACCCGGCACGTGATACCCAACAGCAGCACCGGGACCGGCACAGGGACCAGCACTGGGACCCGGCACCTGACACCAGAACCAGCACCAGGACCCGGTACCTGGCACTGGAACCGGCACCGGGACCCAGAGCCCAGCACCTGACACCGGAACCAGCACCAGGACCTGGCACCGGGACCCAGAGCCCAGCACCTGACACCAGAACCAGCACCAGAACCCGGCACCGGGACCCAGAGCCCAGCACCCGACACCGGAACCAGCACCAGGACCCGGTACCTGGCACTGGAACCGGCACCGGGACCCGGAACCCAGCACCTGACACCGGAACCAGCACCAGGACCCGGCACCGGGACCCAGAGCCCAGCACCCGACACCGGAACCAGCACCAGCACCCAGAATCCAGTACCCAACAGTGGCACCGGAACCGGGACAGGCACTGGGACCCGGGACTGGGACCCAGAACCCAGCACCGGGACCGGGCACCTGACACCAGGACTGGCAGCAGGACTGGTACCGGGCACTGGTACCGGGCACCCAGCACCGGGACCCAGAACCCAGCACCTGACAGCAGCACCGGAACCAGGACCGGCACCGGGATCTGGCACTTGACAGCAGCAGCAGCACCGGAACCGGCACCCAGCACCATACCGGGACCCAGCACCTCACACCGGGACCTGGAACCGGCACCGGACAGTGGCACCCAGAAGCGGAACCGGCACCGGGACCCAGCACCCAACGCCAGTGCTGTAACCGGTACCGGCACCTGACACAGGCACCGGAACCAGAAATGGCACCGGGACCAGGACCCAGCACTGGAACCGGAACCGGCACTGAGACCGGCACACCCAACACCGGTACTGGGACCAGAACCGGGACCAAGAACCGAGACCCAGCACCCAACACCGGTATCGGGACCAGAACCGGGACCAAGAACCGAGACCCAGCACCCAACACCGGTACTGGGACCGGAACCGGGACCAAGAACCGGGACCCAGCACCCAACACCGGTATCGGAACCAGAACCGGGACCAAGAACCGGGACCCAGCACCCAACACCGGTATCGGGACCAGAACCGGGACCAAGAACCGAGACCCAGCACCCAACACCGGTACTGGGACCGCTGCTTCCCATTTTCCCAAATTCCCATTTTCCCCATTTCCCATCTCACTCGTATCCCACTTTCCCATGTTTCCCATTTCCTCCTGTATCCCATTTTCCCTCCATCCCATTTCCTCTGCTTCCCATTTTGCCTGCATCCATCTCTTTTTTATCCCATTTTCCCTGCTTCCCATTTTCCTGTGCTCCCCATCTCCTCTTCCATCCCAGTTTCCCAGTTTCCCATTTCCCTCTGCTTCCCATTTTCCCTGCATCCCTTCTCTTGTATCCCATTTCCCCTGCTTCCCATTTTCCCAAATTCCCATTTTCCCCATTTCCCATCTCACTCGTATCCCACTTTCCCATGTTTCCCATTTCCTCCTGTATCCCATTTTCCCTCCATCCCATTTCCTCTGCTTCCCATTTTGCCTGCATCCATCTCTTTTTTATCCCATTTTCCCTGCTTCCCATTTTCCTGTGCTCCCCATCTCCTCTTCCATCCATTTCCCAGTTTCCCATTTCCCTCTGCTTCCCATTTTCCCTGCATCCCATTTTCCCTGCATCCCATCTCTCTCGTATCCCATTTCCCCTCCTTCCCATTTCCCCAAATTCCCATTTTCCCAAATTCCCATTTTCCCAGTTTCCCGTCTCCTCCAGCTCCCCCCTTTTCCCTGCATCCCGTTTTTCCCTCTTTCCCTTCTTTCCCTGCATCCCCTCTGCAGCTGCTTCCCGGGAATCCGACCTTTTCCCGGGAATCCAACCCCTTCCCGGGTATCCGACCTTTTCCCGGGAATCCGCCCCCGGCCGGGAGCGCTGCCGGAATCCCACGCACGGGAATGACTCAGGATCAGGGAGAACAGGGAAGGAACTCGGCGTTCCCGATATTCCCGGTGTTCCCAAGCCGGGATTGGATCGAACCCAACCATCTGGGAAGGAACAGCTCCCCGGATGTCCTGGAATTTCGGGATGGAAGTTTCCAGGAGGATCCACAATCCCACTTTTTTTTTTTTTTCTTTTTTTTTGGCTGCTGGGATCGTGATTCCCGATCTGGAAAACCTCTGGAGTTCCGGCTGTCTGATCCCAGCCCCGTCATTCCCAGCCCTGCAGCCAATCCCAGGAATTCCATGGGATCCCAGGAATTCCATGGGATCAAGGGTGGGGGGTCACCGCATCCTCCCCTCAGGGAAAATTCCCAAGTTTCAGGGAATTTTTCCCAGTTTTCCAAACTATTCCTTCTAATCCCCATCCCGATGGATATTTTGGCGATCCCAGGAGAAGACATCCCAACGCATTCCCAGGCTTTGGAAAATCCCAAATCCCGAATTTTCCCAGGCCAGAAAATAAGGAATTCCAACCTGGCCCCACTCCGCCTGTTCCCTGCCCAAAAATCATCCCGGAAAAATTTGGGAATTCATTTTCCAGCCTCTGCTGACCCGGGATTGAGATCCCACGGCTCTGCCAAATTCCCAAATCATGGATGAACCATGAATTCCCAGGTGTCCATCTTTCCCATCATTCCCATCATTCCCAGGTGTCCATCATTCCCATATTCCCATCATTCCCATGGATCCATCACTCCCACTTATCCATCATTCCCATATTCTCATCATTCCTGTCCATCCCTCATTCCCACCTATCCCTGTTTTCCATGTGCCCATCATTCCCATGGATCCCTCATTCCCAAATGTCCATCATTCCCATTTCCCCATCATTCCCATGTTCCCATCATTCCCATATTCCCATATTTTCCCATCTTTCCCAGGTATCAATCATTCCCATCATTCCCATGTATCCACCATTCCCACATTCCCATCATTCCCACCTCTCCCTCATTCCCATATTCCCATCACTTCCATATTCCCATCATTCCCAGGTATCAATCATTCCCATTTTCCCATCATTCCCATATTCCCAGGTATCCATAATTCCCACCATATTCCCATCATTCCCACATATCCCTCATTCCCACGGGTCCACCATTCCCATATTCCCATCATTTCAAGATATCCCTCATTCTCAGATATGCATAATTCCCAAATTCCCACATTCCCATTATTCCCATATTCCCATCATTCCCATGGATCCATCACTCCCATCATTCCCATTTTCCCATCATTCCCATTTTCCCATCATTCCCATGGATTCCCCATTCTCAGATATCCATAATTCCCAAATTCCCATCATTCCCATGGATCCATCATTCCCATTTTCCCATCATTCCCATGGATTCCTCATTCCCAGATATCCATCATTCCCAAATTCCCACCATCCCCATATTCCCATTATTCCCGTATTCCCATCATTCCCATGGATCCATCATTCCCGTTTTCCCATCATTCCCATTTTCCCATCATTCCCATGGATTCCCCATTCCCATAGATCCATCATTCCCATATTTCCATCATTCCCATCATTCCCATATTCCCATCATTCCCATGGATCCATCATTCCCATTTTCCCATCATTCCCATTTTCCCATCATTCCCATGGATTCCCCATTCCCATAGATCCATCATTCCCATATTCCCATCATTCCCATCATTCCCATATTCCCATCATTCCCACGTGTCCCACGTCAATCCCTCAACCCCAAATCCCCTCTTTTTACCTAAAATCCCATTCCCACTTTTTCCCGGGAATCCTTTCCCAGCCCATTCCCGCTTGGAACAATCCCCAGTCAAACGACTCCCCACATTCCCACCGACATTCCCGCTTTTCCAGCCTCAATCCCCAACTGGATAATCCTGGAGACCCCAAAGACGGGATCGGGATCCTGCCAGGATAAACTGGATCCCGGGAATCTCCCATGGAATCCACATCCCTGGGAATCACTTCCCAGCCTTCGTTTTCCTGGGATGTAACAACTCCACCCCTCCCAATATCCCGGTTTTCCCGGGAATCCTGGAATTCCAGCACTTCCTTCCCTCTGGAGCCATCCCAGCCTCATCCACGGCTCCTTCCTGGTGCTTCCCGCCCTTCCCGGGAAGCGGCAGCCGGGATTTCCCTGTCGGATCCCGGGAGTTTCCCATCAGATTCCAGGATTTTCCCGTCAGATCCCAGGATTTCTCATCAGATCCCGGGATTTCCCTATCAGATCCCGGGATTTTCCCATCAGACCCCGGGATTTTCCCATCAGATCCCAGGATTTCTCATCAAATCCTGGGATTTTCCTGATGGATCCCGGGGTTTTCCCATCAGATCCCGGGATTTTTTTTCCGTCAGATCTTGGGATTTTCCCATCAGATCCCAGGATTTCCCTGTTAGATCCCAGGATTTTCCCATCAGACCCTGGGATTTCCCTGTCAAATCCCAGGATTTTCCTGACGGATCCCGGGGTTTTCCCGTCACATCCCGGGATTTTTTTCCATCAGATCTTGGGATTTTCCCATCAGACCCCAGGATTTCCCTGTTAGATCCCAGGATTTTCCCATCAGACCCTGGGATTTCCCTGTCGGATCCCGGGAGTTTCCCATCAGATTCCAGGATTTTCCCGTCAGATCCCAGGATTTCTCATCAGATCCCGGGGTTTTCCCACCAGATCCCAGGATTTCTCATCAGATCCCGGGATTTTCCCATCAGATCCCAGGATTTCCCTGTTAGATCCCAGGATTTTCCCATCAGACCCTGGGATTTCCCTGTCAAATCCCAGGATTTTCCTGACGGATCCCGGGGTTTTCCCGTCACATCCCGGGATTTTTTTCCATCAGATCTTGGGATTTTCCCATCAGACCCCAGGATTTCCCTGTTAGATCCCAGGATTTTCCCATCAGACCCCGGGATTTTCCCGTCAGATCCCAGGATTTCTCATCAGATCCCGGGATTTTCCCATCAGATCCTGGGATTTTTTCCGTCAGATCTTGGGATTTTCCCATCAGATCCCAGGATTTCCCTGATAGATCCCAGGATTTTCCGATCAGACCCTGGGATTTTCCCTTCAGTTCCCAGGATTTCTCATCAGATCCCAGGATTTCTCATCAGATCCCAGGATTTTCCTGATGGATTCCGGGGTTTTCCCATCACATCCCGGGATTTTTTTCCATCAGATCATGGGATTTTCCCATCAGACCCCCGGATTTTCCCATCAGATCCCAGGATTTCTCATCAGATCCTGGGATCTTCCTGTCAGATCCTGGGATTTTCCCATTAGATTCCAGGATTTCCCCATCAGATCCCAGCATTTCCCCATCAGATCCTGGGATCTTCCTGTCAGATCCTGGGATTTTTCCCTCAGATCCAGGGATCCTCCTGTCAGATCCCAGTATTTCCCTCTCAGATCCCGGGATTTCCCCGTCGGATCCCGGGATTTTGACGGAAGGGATTTTCGGGCCATTTTCGGCGCCGGCTCCGGAGCTTTCCGAGGTTTCCCGGGGGCTGTCGGGAGCCTCGGCCTCTTCCTGTTCCCTTTTCTCTGCCGCTTCCTCAAACGGCCTCGCCGCGATCCCAGCGCTCCCGTCCTTCCCGGGATCCTTCCTGGGATCCCTCCCGGGATCTTTCCCTGGATCCTGGCGGATAATTCCTGGGATCCATCCCCACAATTCCTGGGATTCATCCCCATCATTCCTGGGAGTCATCCCCATCATTCCTGGGATCTGTCCCTGCTCTTCCTGGGATTTGTCCCAGTCCTTCCCGGGATCCTTCCTGGGATCCCTCCCGGGATCTTTCCCTGGATCCTGGCTGGGATCCATGCCCACAATTCCTGGGATCCATCCCCATCATTCCTGGGAGTCATCCCCATCATTCCTGGGATCTGTCCCTGCTCTTCCTGGGATTTGTCCCAGTCCTTCCCGGGATCCTTCCCAGGATCCAGCCCTGCCCTTCCTGGGATCCTTCCTGGGATCCATTCCCATCCTTTCCAGGATCCTTCCCAGGATCTATCCCAATCCTTCCTGTGATCCTCCCCGGGATCCTTCCCAGGATCCATTCCCATCCTTTCCAGGATCCTTCCCGGGATCCATTCCCATCCTTCCTGTGATCCTTCCCGGGATCCTTCCCAGGATTCAGTCATGTCCTTCC